AGAATCACTGGCTGGCCAGAGGCCTTCCGCTGGTCTGTCTGTGGCCTGCTGTCGGGGACTGGAGAGGCTAGTGGGTGGGCGCTGGTGCTGGGGCTGCAGGAGAGGAAAGTTGGCAGTGATGTCACTTCCTCAGAATCACAGGCTGGCTAAAGGCCTGCAGCTGAGTATCTCTATGGCCTGCAGCCATTGACAGGACAGGCAAGTAGGTGGGTGCTGGTGCTGAGGTCTGCAGGAGAGGTAGATGGGCAATGATGATAATGCCTTTGAATCACTGGCTGACCAGCAGCCTGCCACAGGTTCTGTCTATGTCCTGCAGCCAGGGACAGGACAGGCTATTAGAGGAGGAAGAGCACAAAATTAACAAGAGAATAAAGGACCTTAAAATCAAAGGAGAATGTCATGGTGACCTAACTTTTTAGCAGGTAGGCTCTGGGGCTTAGTTCTGCTGGAGTGTTCAGTGGGCACTGTTGTCCCTACCTCAGAATCACTGACTGGGCAGCGATCTGCCACTGGGTTTTTCTGTGGCTTGTGAGCTGGGACTGGACAGGCTAGTGGGTGGGCGCTGGGGCTGAGTTCTGCCAGACTGTTTCGTGGGCAGTGATGTCCCTGCTTAAGAATCACTGCCTGGCCAGAGGCCTGCCACTGGATCTGTCTGTGTCCGGCACCCAGGGAAAGGACAGGCTAGCCCATGAGCACTGGGGTGAGGGAGAGGTAGGTGGGCAGTGATGATCCTGCCTCAGGATCACTGGCTGGCCAAAGGCCTGCTGCTGGGTCTGTCTGTGGCCTGCAGCCTGTGAGAAGAGGAAGAGCAAGAAATTAACAAGATAATAAAGGAGCTTAAATTCCAAAGCAGAAAGTAATGGTGACCCACCTACCTAGCTGGAGGGCACTGGGGCTGTGGTTTGTAGGAGAGGGAGGTGGGCAATGATGTCCTTGCCTCAGAATCACTGGCTGGGCCGAGGCCTGCCGCTAGGTTTGTCTGTGGCCTGCAGTCGGGGACAAGACAGGCTAGCGGGTGAGCACTGGAGTTGGGGTCTACAGGAGACGGAGGTGGGCAGTGATGTCCCTACCTCAATCACTTGCTGGCTAGAGGCCTGGTGCTGGGTCTGTCTGTGGCCTGCAGTCGGGGACAAGACAGGCTAGCGGGTGAGCACTGGAGTTGGGGTCTACAGGAGACGGAGGTGGGCAGTGATGTCCCTACCTCAATCACTTGCTGGCTAGAGGCCTGGTGCTGGGTCTGTCTGTGGCCTGCAGCCTGTGAGAAGAGGAAGAGCAAGAAATTAACAAGATAATAAAGGAGCTTAAATTCCAAAGCAGAAAGTAATGGTGACCTACTTACCTTGTGGGTGGGCGCTGGGGCTGGGGTCTGCAGGAGAGGGAGTTGGGCAGTGATGACCCTCACTCAGAATCACTGACTTCCGGAGGCCTGCCGCTGGGTTGACTTTGGCATGCAGCCTGGGACAGGACAGGCTGTGAGAGGAGGAAAAGCAGGAAATTAAATAGCGAATTAAGGAGCTTCAAATCCAAAGCAGAAATTAATAGTGACATACCAATCTAGCAGGTGGTCGATGAGGCTGGGGTCTGCAGGAGAGATAGGTGGGATGTGATGACTCTGCCTCAGAATCACTGGCTGGCCAGAGGTCTTCATCTGAGTCTGTCTGTGACCTCTAGCTTGGGACAGGAGAGGCTGTGAGAGGAGAACAGCAGGAAATTAACAAGAGAATAAAGGAGCTTAAAATCCAAAGCAGAAAGCAATGGTGACCTACCTACCCAGCCAGTGGAAGCTGGGGCTGGGGTCTCTATGAGAGGTAGGTGGACAGTGATGTCCCAGCCTCAGAATCACTGACTAGCCTGAGGCTTGCCACTACATCTCTCTGTGGCCTGTAGCCTGGAGCAAGACAGGCTAGTGAGAGGGCAGTGGAGGAGGAGAGGTAGGTGGGCAGTGATTTCCCTGCCTCTGAATCACTGGCTGGCCTCCTTCCTGGTTCTGGGTCTGTCTGTGTCCTGTAGATGGGTACAAGACAGGCTGTGAGAGGAGGAAGAGCAGGAAATTAACAAGAGAAAAAAGGAGCTTAATATCCAAAGCAGAAAGTAATGTTGACCTGCCCAACTAGTGGGTGGGCACAAGGGCTTGGGCCTGCAGGAGATGTAGGTGGGCAGTGATTTCCCTGCCTCAGAATCACTGGCTGGCCCGAGGCCTCGTACTGTGGCTGGTGGGGGGTC